CCCCCCCCCCCCCCAGCCCCTCCACAGTGGCTCACCGAAGCTCGGATGCGTTTGTAATAACTTCTCTTCCCTTTTCTATTCAATTTTCACCGCAGCTTTTCCAATTACAAATCTCCAAAGTGCTCCGGTATCAATTGAGCTTAAAGCAATTTTCCGCCGAGTAATAGCAATCATTTCTAACGCCGATCCCTGCCCCCCCCCAAAAAGAAAAAAACATGCAATAAGAGTGACGCAGAAGCAGCTGTGTTATGCCAAATCATTTGAAACAGAGACATGAATGCAGAGGGTTCATTTCCAGTCCACTTTTCAGGTGAGGTCAAAAGAAATCCAAGGGCTACCTGACTTTTTGCTCATGCAAAACGCAAATAACTAAATAAATATGAACCCGAAAATGTCCACACATCCCCAAGCGAGGCCATTCGCACGCACGTGAGTGCGACGCAAAAACACACACCCAGACGACTACCGCGACTGACGGAGAAAAGAATTATGTCATCTCTCAGTGAGACTTTTTGAAGCAAGGCCGTGACCCTCAGCCAATGGCGTTCTTTCTTTCGCTGTTTTTTTTCCCCCCAGGAAAGAGCGCTCAGCAATCAGCTTTGTCTCCTGTCACAACTTGTTGGGCTCAAGGTTGACAAGCATTGCAAGTGTACTTCAAACCGCTGCCGACATGGATATAATTACAGTCAGCTCGACAAATATTCAGACATCGACACTGTTCTCATCTTTCTTTCTTTTCGCAGGGCCGCCAATCAAAGCGGCTCCTTTGTAGTGATTTAGGATGCGTGACCGTTCACAAAAGAACCCATCTGACGGTGCAGATGGACAAACGACCTGGGGCCTGCTGCAAAAAAAAAAAAGCAAGCAAAGAGGTCAACTTTTAGCATTGCGTTTTTCTGCATGCGAGCAGAAAAGCGGACTTGGCTCTTTTCCCGACCCTTTCCTCTAAAGTGGATTGATTGGCTTGGATGCCGCCCCAAGATGCCGGCTCATTGGTATGTACGATTCGCTCAGCTGGCGGGACGCGAGAAGCGATTTGGCTTCCGGCGTGATGGTTTTACACAAATCCCGAGACGACGGAGGAATATTTTTTGCAAGAGGTGACTCTTCTCCGTCACCGCTGTGCGGCCACGGAATGTCCTCTGCGAAGAATTCCTCGACCTGGCAGAAGGGGCGGGGGGAAGAAAGCACAGACGCAAGCTGGAAAAGATCGGCGAGGCTTGACAGAGCACCTCCTGCCGCAATCTGTAATTACCAACAGTACAATCAGCGGCCTCGTTAATTTCCCCTGACTGGCAGCGGCTGGATGGCTCAATTGCAGAGAACGCAGCGGTACAACTTCATAAGTAAATGGAACTGGCGTCTCGGAGCAGACTTTGGCGTCAGAGGCCGCACGGAGAAAAAAAAAGTGCATATTCCGCTTCTTGTACTTGCACTTGGATGCACTATTTGTCATCAGCCCAATGGTAATGACTTGTCTTTGAAAAGCAAATGAGGCCCCACCCCCACTCCATTTCCATGGAAGTGTGCAGATTTAAACCAACCACCACATGATTGTGTTCATCATCTCAAGGCACAGAGGTGACATTTACACGACGAAATGAAATGTGATGAGTTATCAACCCCCCTTGCATATATTTCTCTCTCGCACGCTCGCAATAAATATATGAAAGAAAGGCACAGCACTTTACTTTTTTTTTTTTAAATCATACTTTGCCCTTTAGTATTTGTTAACCTCACAATAGGTGTAAAATCGGCCAAGTCTAGCTGTTAAACGTAAAAGGGGATGACCACAATTTCAGGGCATCCCACATGCTTCAAAGTGTGAGTCGGTATAGCTTTTGTTTGGATGTTTCTACTTCAACAACCACAGCTCAACACCAGAAGACACATGAAAATCCATTTGACACTCCCCCCTGTGTATAACAGACGGTGCACCGAACCAGTGCAAAAGCACTTGAGCGGCTCTTGTTTTAAGTGGGTTGCAACAAATCAATTTCTAAACATAATTAATTTTCGTGGGGAGGGGAGGGATCGTTTGCCTCAAAGCCGTGACGATTAATTGTGACTGACGTGTGCTGCTTACAAAAGGGAGAACATCAATATTGCTTATACTAAGGAGATGATAGCATTCGTTTCCAGTTACGATGCTGTATGCATTATCTAGTTATACATTTGAAATATGTGCAATTCATTCATTTTATCATCTTCATCCACGCCTGGTACAGAAAAGCTACGTTGCCATTGGCTGACCAACCCCGGAAGTCCCATCCTTCTGTCGCATGACTTTGACGTAGCAACGCGCAGACGCTTTCCCGGAAGCGGACGACGCTGCAGCAGGAGAGCTCAAAACATGACGCCCAAACAGCAACTTTCACGCGTTGCGGCGGCATTTACCTCTTTGGTTTTCCTCCAGACGATCCCCCCGGTGGCGGCGTATGATGCCGGGGACGCGTTGGCTCTGTTGCTGGGAACTGTCGTCGCCATGGTGGGCTTCTGCGCCTGCCTGGGCTGGTACACGCGGAAGCGGAACAGACTGCTGCAGTGAGGAGGAACGAGTCGCCCGTTCTGCGCTTCTCCCGTCTCGTGACTCGACAACACGTTGCTGTGCATACTTGATACAAACATATGACTATTTGCCCTCCTTTGCGGTTGTTGCGGTCTTGGATGAAAATGACCGATAAGCTCATGATCAGGAGCGTGCGTCCTGACGTTGAAGAAGAAGCGGAAGTCGGGAAGAAGGACCTAAGAGCAAGTTGCACTGCTGCCAAAAAAAAAGGACTCGACACTGTCGTTGCCTCGATCTAAATACTTGTATTCTGCTCAAAATGCTTATTTGAATTTATTTTTGCATCTTTGTTGGCAAATGTGAAAGGCAAGCTATCGATCGCCATGCCTGTTAAAATAAAAGCATTTAAACCATGATCGGAAAGAGTTTGTGGTGATTGTTTTGCATCTTTTTTTTTAATTTGGAATCCAACTTCAATTAAGCCACACATTTGAATGTAGCAACCACGTAGAAAACAGAATTATGCACCAATGTAGACAGAAGAGAGACAAATGGCATCGAGAATGCGTGCATACACAATTTACCATCTAACGCGATCATATACTTTTATTGGCTGACTATAAATCTTTCAAAATAAAACCACAGACACATGGACCACCCTGTGTCATAAAACGAGAATGAAAGAGTCCCTCAAAAATGTCATCACCCTGCCAACAGTAGCGCATTTCATAGTGGAGCTATACAGCAAAAGCACATTGTCTCACACGCGTTGCGACATGACGGCTGCATGCTTGAAAAAACCAATTCTATGAATTTGTCATGCTGCCCCGGACGAGAGAACAACAGTGAGCAAAGTGCTTGTCAATTATGCATTTCCCGTACATGGGATGCCTTCTACCTCAAGTGAACTTGTCAGCCTGACTCGACTCACTTAGACGCTATAGCTCCCAACGATATACATGCCACATTTGTTAATGCTCGCAACAATATGACTCAATATGACACAAGCGTGGCGGCACACGGCGAGGGTCGCGGGCGTGCTGGAGCCTCTCCCAGCCAATCACAGGGCACAAACAACCATTCACGCTCACATTCATACCTTAAGACAATTGAGAGCGTTTGATCAACCTACCGCGCATGTTTTTTGGCATGTGGGAGGAAACCGGAGTACCAAGAGAAAAACCCACGTCGGCAAGAGGAGAGCATGAAAACTCGGCACAGGAAGGCCGCGACCTCCCCACTGTGAGGCGGACGTGGTCACCGATCACCCACCGTGCTGCCATCATTGTTATCATTAGTCGTTTGTATAAAGAATTGAGGCCCTATTACAGACTTTTGGTACCCCATAAATCACATTCAATACGTAAGCAAACAAATAAACCAGTTCTTAAAGATGTTTACTTTTGCCGAGAAAATGCTAAACGTATAATGATTCATATGTTGTGGATGCGACAGAAATTGTCTGTCATGTCAACACTGCGCCTTCAGTCTCAAGCCTAACCCCAAATTAGACAATCAGGCTGAAAAAAATGTCACTTGTCAATGGTTTACACTGGTGAGATGTGTCGTTTTGATGCCAGGGTTAGTGTGCGGTATGCATGGCAACGTGATGCCAATGTGCATGTTTAAGTGGTGGCTTGTGCGGCGATTTTTTTGTGCAGGGCAGCAGAGGCCCAGTTGAGTGGATGAGAGCTGCTGCTGCTGCTGCTGCTGCTGCTGCTGCAACAAGAGACAGGACGCGTCTTGGATCACAAATAGGGATGCAGAGCGCATGCGCACTGCTCCCCGTTTACTGTATGATATTCGCCGTGGTGGAAAAAAAAGGGTTAGGGGCAGGCAACAATCGGGATTTCTTAAAGCAGCGACAAAACACGACGAAATAATCTCCAGGAGATGTGACAAAGGAGTTTTACCAACAGGTACGGTGCGGATCGATAGCCCCAGATTGCCTCTTTTATTTGTATCAGATTTTTTTCTTTTTTTTTTTCCTATTTTTTTTCCCCCTTGTGTTTCCTGGAAGATTTTGACATGATTCGTGTCTCGTCGACGCTGTTGTGTTTTATCTAAAGCGGTGACGAAAACACTGGGATTGCTTCGCCGTCCAGTACTGCTGCTTTGTTTCATGTGACAATCGAAGGAGGCTTCTTCCCTTTTTTTTTTATACCTCTCTCTTTTTTTTTAAGATATAAATAAACCGTAAGTACGCCGCTCGACCAACACGACATTGTTTTGTGTTGAAATACGCAATTGTGAGACTGTAAACGTGCTCTCGTGCTTTTCGTTGACGCCATTCGTGCTTTTTCTCCAGCGAGTTTAGGCGATTTGTTCATTAAATCATCAACACAAACGCAGTTAAGGATGGACAGGGGAAAAAAATGGAAGCAAATCACTACTAACGCTTCTTTATTTCATCCAGTTTAAGTGTGCTGTTCAGGCTGTAGGGTGTGATCGAGAGCGCCTTGTGATTAGATTTTTTTTTTTTTTTGTTCTGGAGGAGGCTTTAAAATATCCTGCTCGCTGTTGTGTAAAAAGAAGAAAGAACGAGCGAAAGGAAAACGTCCTTCACTGCGCATTCGTCAATCCGAAAAGGATGAACGCAATAAGGCTTCCGTGTGGCTGTTGAAATGAAATGCATGTGAAACACTTGAGTCGAATGTGACAGAGACATTGCAGTCGCTGATAGGCGGATGCTTTTTTTTTTTAATGTATTTATTTATTTATTTATTTCTTGCCTCCCCTCTCTTCCTCGTTTTTGCTTCCTTTAGGTGTGATGAGACAAAGGAACAAAGGATGCCTTAGAGGAGAGGTTGCCTACATGCCCGGAAATCTCCTCAAAGCCTACCGCAGCCGAATGGATCTAACGCCCCCCCCCCTCGGCCGCCTCCAGATCATGATCCTCGGCTGAAGCTATCCCCGCTCATTCTTTATGATCCCTCCTCCATCTATGGCGAACTATAGCCATGCAGGGGACCACACCATCTTGCAGAATGTCTCTCCTCTCGCCACCTTCCTCAAACTGACCTCCCTGGGCTTCATCATCGGCGTCGGCGTGGTCGGGAACCTGCTGATCTCCATCCTGCTGGTCAAAGACAAGAGCCTGCACCGGGCGCCCTACTACTTCCTGCTGGACCTGTGCGCCTCCGACATCCTGCGCTCGGCCATCTGCTTCCCCTTCGTCTTCACCTCGGTCAAGAATGGCTCGGCGTGGAGCTACGGCACGCTGACGTGCAAGGTGATCGCCTTCCTGGGCGTGCTCTCCTGTTTCCACACGGCCTTCATGCTCTTCTGCGTGAGCGTGACCCGCTACCTGGCCATTGCCCACCACCGCTTCTACACCAAGAGGCTGACCTTCTGGACGTGCCTGGCCGTCATCTGCATGGTGTGGACGCTGTCGGTGGCCATGGCCTTCCCGCCCGTGCTCGACGTGGGCACGTACTCGTTCATCCAGGAGGAGGACCAGTGCACCTTCCAGCACCGCTCCTTCCGGGCCAACGACTCGCTGGGCTTCATGCTCCTGCTGGCGCTCATCCTGCTGGCCACGCAGCTGGTCTACCTCAAGCTCATCTTCTTTGTCCACGACCGGCGAAAAATGAAGCCCGTCCAGTTCGTGCCCGCCGTCAGCCAGAACTGGACCTTCCACGGGCCCGGCGCCAGCGGCCAGGCGGCCGCCAACTGGCTGGCCGGCTTCGGCCGGGGCCCCACTCCGCCCACCTTGCTGGGCATCCGGCAGAACGGCAACACGGCGGGCCGCCGGCGTCTCCTGGTTTTGGACGAGTTCAAAACGGAGAAGAGGATTAGTAGGATGTTCTACATCATGACCTTTTTCTTCCTGGCGCTCTGGGGGCCTTATCTGGTGGCCTGCTACTGGCGGGTGTTCGCCAGGGGCCCCGTGGTGCCGGCGGGCTACCTGACGGCCGCCGTCTGGATGAGCTTTGCCCAGGCCGGGGTCAACCCCTTCATCTGCATCTTCTCCAACAGGGAGCTGCGGCGCTGCTTCAGCACCACGCTCCTCTACTGCCGAAAATCCAGGTTACCGAGGGAACCCTACTGTGTTATATGAAGGTTTTTAACTCCGCCCCCCCCCCTTCACTTTTGCCCCTGATCAATCTGGGCTTTTTCTTCTTGTACAGCTTTCTCTCTCTCTCTCTCTCTCTCTCTCTCTCTCTCTCTCTCTCTCTCTCTCTCTCTGCTAGCTTTTCTTCTCCTCGTCCCTCCTTTCCAGCAGCCAACCACTTGAGGTGATCGCACCCCCCCCCAAAAAAAAAAAAAAAAAAAAGGAGGCCGAAGGAGTACAACAGGGCTCTGTGGTATGCCCCTTGTCGTTTCGTGGAAGGCCATGCCCATGCAGAGAAGCAAAAACGCAGACAATGAAAACGCTTTGGATTTTGTTTTTTTGTTTTTTTTTTGTTTTTTTTCCAAGATGCATTAATCTGTGAAGGTGTGAAATACAACAAAGATGAGGGAAAAAAGAATACAACAAAGAAATGATACCTCTCAAGGAATCACTGGAAATGTTTTACATTTTTCAGAATTGCACTACACAACAAAGAAGATGTAAAGATGTTGCAAAGACAACGCCCCCCCCCCCTTCCCTTTTCTCCAAACTAAACGATGAATGCTTTAATTTGCAACAGACTACACACTCAAAAAATGCTGTAAGTAAGGCAAACGTGTTGGAATTACACCATCACCAGAGGATAAAGTGGTTTAAATGTAAGTGGTAACTTTTTTTCATTTACCAAGGGGATGGGGGGGCGGGTGGATTTTTCTGACGTGCGTTTTTTGAAATTTCAACTAGAATGGATCTTTTGTAGTTTTCGCCATATGTCCCGAATAGTGTCTGCCATTGTTTTTTTTTTTTTTTTTTTTTTAATTATCACCTTTTTCAGCGGGGGGATGGAAATGCGGATTTTTCTTTGACAAGAAGCTTTGAGGAACAAACTTGTGCTTAAAAAAAAAAAAAAAAAAACATTTGAAGATAAGTGTGTGATCATATCCACGTACGCTAAACACTGTCATATTGTTACCGATGCCAGTCCGGGTGTTCTTGCCTTAATGGTTACAATGCTATCGTCATCTAAGTTCATTCGATGCACTCCTATGAAGTCAGTCCTTGGATGCAAGGGGAAGTTATGATTTCTTTTTATTTTTTTAATCACATGACGTGCATGTCCTCTTTTTTTTTTTTTTTTTTACAGGTTTCTCTGACCACCGCGTGCTCAGAGCACAGACAATGAGTGTGTGTGCGTGAGTGCATCAAACACTTCAAGACCAGAGCCTTAGTATGATATCTTGCACAATTTGTAAAAAACAAAAAAACAAAAAACAAAACAAAAACAAGACAAAAAACACAAAAACAAAACAAAACAAAAAAAAACCATCAGTAAAAGTCAAAAGACAAAAAAGGGGGACATTTAAGGCACACTGTCTTGTTTCTACTTTCCCTACATTTGCTCTCTTCCGATAATTTTTTTTCTCTCTTCTCTCTCTCGTGGCCATTTTTTTTCCTCACAATTACTTTGTTCCTTTTTGTAAATTATAGATGGCGTGTAAGTATGTGAGTCTTTTATTTACTTTTTGGAGTCCCGAATGTGAGTAAGGATTGCATTTCGCTGAAAGTTAACTGTGTAACCTGTTGCTTTTTTTTTTTTCCAAAAATAATAATAATAATAAAAAAAAATAAAAAAAAAGAAAGTTTCCATTTCGCAACATGGTTCATTTGCTACCTATGGGGGAATGTGCTCAATTGTCAAAAATGTGTTTTGGTTTTGGTGCATTGGGACCACGTTTGCTAGTCGTCGTGTGTGATCAAAGTTGAATGCCAATATGCGTGTGAAAGATTGTTTTTTTTTTTTTTTTTTTTTTGTCTATGTACATTCATCCAGGCACGTGCACAGATAGGCCCCAAATGGTGCTTAATTTTTATTTATTTATTTTTTTAAGCCAAAGCACCTGCTGGTGAAAGGGCTCGTAAATGCTCTACACAGGTAATTGCACGGCAGGCTGCAGGTTGCGCTGATGAGAAAGGCCTATTAGGGATCCATTGTCATGATGAGCTTGGCAATGACTGTTTTGTTTAGGACGCTGATCAATCTATGAGCCCCGTGCAGATGATGTGCAAGCCGTTTTATGATCGTTTAAGTGAGCGCCAAGATGGGCCGGATTGCTTATGGCGGGCTTTTGAATCTCCTCTTTCTTGGCACAGCGAGGAAGGAAACTGTTTGGAGGACGTTTGTGCGAGCCCGCCTTTAAAGTTGGATCAGAACGCGATTGAGGATTGTTCCGAAGCAAACCGATTAGCGTGCGGGGGTCTGCTTGACATCCAGTGTTTGAAGCACGGAACAAGGGAATGTGCTGTCTTTCCAATCTTTCAATTGTTGCGCGGTAAGTAAAGTCTGTCATTTTTCTCATTCATCATGTATAATTTGAGCAAATCTGTTGACCGGGTAATGTCGAATGGCTTTCTGCGAAGCGTAATTAAGAGGGCAGTTGGGCTTTGTGCGGAAAGCCTGCCCGGCGAGAGAAAGAGTTTTTTTTTGTACGTGCATCACCCTGCTTGGCCTGTTTGTTTGGATTGCATAAGGGCGCCATTGAAGTGCTTTTCAATAGCCGCAGGGCACGGCTTTTCATATTTGGTGACATGCTTTCCATATATTGAGTGTTTGCCGCGGGGAAGTGCCCTCGTGGAGAACAGCTACATGCTAACCAGTGGCTTTCTCTCGATAAATTCCCAAGAGCTCTTTTGATTTTGTACCCCTGACACAGAATCAGGAGCACCCCAATGGTCATCGTGTGCAATTTTGGAGGCTTCAATGTGTGAGCTCAACATTTGGGTCAGTCCCTCTTTGAGCTAGATTGGGTTATTTCTGACTCAGCAGAATTAATTGGCACCACATTAGGCAAAGATACACAACAAGAGAGGAAAAAAAATGATTGTCGTTATCATTTGGGGGTTTGACTGCAACTCTGGGAATAAAGAAGAAGAGGAAGGGGATTAAAAAAAAAAAAAAAAGAAAACACTGCATCATTGATCGTCAGACAAGCTATTACAGACCGAAGTGGCTTTGGAATACCAATGATGTCGACTGCTCGTCCTTCTGCTAATAGAAACGAATAGCCGTGCTTAAAATGATTGAACTGGTGTTTGCTTCAAATGAGACAAATGGGTCTGGCTATTTCCTGGAGGAACGGGAGCACTACCATGAGCTTTGTTGACATAACCGAATGTAACATGTTGCGCTCTCCCGTCCATCCGCCCGCTGGAACATAAACAATTTGTGGTCTTTCTCTGCTGCTGTTGCCATGGTAACCAAAACAAAATGTCCACCGCAATTGACTGCGGTCGCGTTGTCACGCTTAGTCGTGCTCATTTGTCTCTCCCTATAACCGTATGGACAAATGGAATTGACTTTTGGATGCCAAGTCAATTGGAAAAAAAAAACAAATCCCTGGTTTAACTGCACAAAATTGCAGCTCATCCAAGTCGCTGTTTGCAAAACGCTGCAGGCTTGGGATGAAGTCTGATGTTTGCTAAGGCTCAGGATCCGCGATGACGCCGGGGATAAAATGTGATTGGTGGCCGGCTGACTACTCAAGCACAAGTATGCCAAAATTGGAATATGTGAGGAGACACAACTGCTGAGGTGTAATCTCCCCCTCCCCCACCCTCTTACCCCCACCACCGCTGACAAGGATTACCCATGCTAGATTAAAACATCCCATGATACCCAAGGGTCCCGATGCACAATCAATGCTGTGGATGATTGTATTTTATTCGTTGCGTGTCAAAATCTTTGGTCATCTCTAATCTGGGATTTAGGTAGCAGCAGCAGCAGCAGCAATCCAGGCAGTGTTGAAATGATGCAGACAAAATATCATCCAAAAGTGAATGCAAATCATCCCCCCCAAAAAATCTGCATTGATTTGCGCATTGCATGCTGGGAACTGAAATTAATGTGGGAAATACTGTGCAGTACAGCTGCCAAATTCTCAACTCAAACATAGACAACAAGAACCGTTGACGGTTCATTTGAATGGGAACTTTTGTGCATGAGAGCCCTTTGGGTGTGGGCGGGGGGCGGGGGGGGGATCAATTTATGGTCATGCGTCCGCTTCCTGCTTCACTGAGATGTGTCCCTCAATGAAAAGAACTTGGTTTAGATGCTCGCAGAGTTGAAGTCTCATGTGATGCCGTGCAGAAAAATCGACTTGTGTTCCACTGTCCAAGTGACGAATTTGGCCGCAGACGGTCGCTACTCTCTTGAAGTTTGCAGACTCGAAGTGGCACGTGCAAACATTTTTCCCGACATGCTAAAATATTCAAAGGATGCTATCTGGCTTCTAAGAGTGGGCGGGGTTAGATGGGATGGGAAAGCATGATACTGCAGCAAGGAAGCGAACACGCTCTCCTCCCACATTTGCAGAGGGCAATCTGTCACGGATGGAACGGCTAAACGTATACATGACGGCGCTTATTTACGACACGGAGCCTTTGGGCGCCTTGCATCTGGCCACAGTATGTCGCAAGCAATCCCCTCGTCGTCTCCTCGGTCTCTTATCGACTTGTGATTGCGTCACGGCTTGCTTATTTATCCCACTTTCGCACCGTGACGGCCGGGGAAGATGTTTATACGGGTGATTTGTTTGCACTAATTCGGCTTGTTTTGACGAATCCGAGGGCTTTTGGAGGGAGGGGGGGTTAATCCTCTTGTTTCTTCTTCCAGCCTATTCAGCACTCTCATAACCCGCCCCACCAATCTCATCCCTGCTTTATTTTTGGAAACATCTCATTCTTGTGAGTCAGGCCTCATCTTCAACATCTCCTTGCTGCTGTTTTTGCTCTGAGAACAGGAAAAAAAAAAAGCCATGTGCTGTCTTCGGAGCGGAATAATTCATAGTTTGTGACTGTTAATGTTTGCAATCGATGGCGAGTAATAGATTGATGGGCTGCTTCGAAAAGGCGACCAGTAGCAATTTGTCACACAAAAAAATGGCGCTGGCGAACGTAAAGCTGCGTGACGCGAAAGCATTTTTTTTTTTCCATTTATCAATCAAATCAATCAGTGGCAATGCTACGGCGAGCGCTGACGGCTGTGGTGATTGGTGACTTCGATTTTCATTTTTGATCAAATGGGGCAGGCTAATTCGTGTTTTTGTATTGCAATCGCCTTCAACTAAACAATGAGAGGCACTAAAAAGGAAGTTGTCGGGCATTCTTCGCCACTCAGTGTCGCGACGGCATCTTGAAGCCGATCACATTGCCGCTCTGCAATTAAGCATCGATGGCGACTGCGAGCGCTACCGGACCTGTGCACGCATAGCCAATTATCCGCTTAGTATTCCATCCACTTTGGGCCGCAGCCTCCTGACCTAAAAATTGCGAGCGGGAGAGACCCTTTGCTAAGTGGTTTGTTCATTTGATGAAGAGAAGCGCACTATTTCTGACGGATTAAGGCAGGAGTTCGCTTTCTCTTGCCTCCTAGAAATTTGCCTCCGCTGAATTTGTCTTTCACCTTTTCCTCTCCTGAGTCATTTGTACGAGTGCCCCCGTTGTGGGAAGGTTCCCCGGGCGCTGATGACAAATCTATTGATCACCACCCCGTGTTTGTCTTTGCGAGATCTCATTTTGAAAGCCCACACGTGCTCCCCGCACGACGTGATCGATGGGCTCCGTCCAAGGCGTGCGCGGGAGGCCTCCGATCTGAACGGAGCTGTTCCACCCTGAGGCTCGCCTGGCGGATTCTGCCCAACAAATTCCGTAATGTGGACAATGAGGGAGTTGGAATCCGTTTGGGAGCAGTTCGTGAAACCTTCGAGAGAACAAGTTTATTTTTTATTTTTTTGATGACGCTTGGCCGCTAAAGGCGATATGGCGTGTCACGGACTGAATCAAGGCTGATCGGTTCTCTTTGTGCCCTGTGAGAGGAAGTCGGCGTTCCCGGTTCAGTTCAATAAGGCACATCTCCACTCGACTCACTTGAGGAACGTTTTCTTCTAGTTTGTGTTTGAAAGTTAAGCGTGCCAAATCGGGGCAACGGTGCTCTTTGCTTGTGGTTGTTGCCTAGCAACAACCACAGAGGCAGTTTGTTGAAGCCTGCCATTTCTTTTTTTTTTTTCTCAGAAATGTGAAATATTTTTATCTTCAAAGCCTGCACACAACTCCATGGGGAGATGCACGACGGTATCTCTTTTAAACGCTGAAAACAAAAGAGGTCAGTGCGGCAGATTCCTCGTTTGAGGTGCAGGGGGTGCGCTGCATTCGAATAGCAACATTGAAATTCATAAATGTCCCGGAAACAAAATCAAGTGTTGACCGATTGACAGATTTCAGCTTTTGATCAGAATCGAA